AGTCAACAATGAATTACTTCTGGAAAAATTGTATCGAATAGGAGTTAGCAAATGACTGGGTTGCTACATATCTGGAAAACCGGTCTCAGGTAGTAGTTATCATTTCAGTGAAATCGCAACCTGATTCCACTTCGACTGGAATACCTCAAAGTTTCGTATTACACTCTTTCATGTACTTCCCCACAAAAAACTATAATCTATTCAGACATGCTGAATAGTAGCAGAATTTAATCTTCAACTGGGTACAAACTTTGCGAATGAAATCGCAGAAGAATTCTCTACTGGTGCACAAATAATGGATTGGCAGTTGATTGAGTTCTCATTGTCTGAGTTTCCGGCAAAAACTTCATCTTCTATCGTTATGTCCTGCTCTGAGTCGGTATTGTGGTCGCTTTCAGAGATATTCTTCACATTCAGCCCATAAAACTTCAACCTTTTTTTGTTCGTCTTCGTACGCTAAAAAAATAGGTGAACAGGAAACAATGTGGTACATGAATATAACACACGTAGAGATAATGAACGTTTGCCTTATTCGCGATTAGCTGTAAGCCAGGACTCAGTCTATAGGAAAACAAATGAAGTACTTGGAAATCTAGGAGTTCATACTGAGTGGAAGAAGGCTTTACTAAAATGTCTTTTAGGAAATGCTTTTTATTCTATATGTTCCTGAATAATATTATTTCATTTTCATTTATATTTAATCTGTACTCACTTTTTGATTTATCTATACATTTTTATATATGTTTGACTAGTCTGATACAATTCTGTATTTGTATGACATTTGTAAAATACTCTATTCTATGATGAGATCCTCCTAAAGAGTCGAGCGGAAAAATAGCTTTGAAATAAATGATTGTGTCTATCAAATTGTGAATAATATGAACCTTTCTATGTTTTATTTTTCTTTCTTGTATTATCTGAAAAAAATTTTTTATCATTTTCTTGTGTAGCTAATTTCTAAAACCTATACTTTGTCCTCGTTATTATCAAACATTTTTCATCTCAAAACGCTTCGATCTGAGTTCATTACCCCTTCTGTTTTCCTTCACTTCCAATTAATAAATATCAATATCAAATCGATCAAGTTACGGCAATTATTATCGTCAATAACAACAATGCCACAAACTTGACAGTCATGATTGGTTATATCCGCCAATATCCTCCGATAATTTCCGTGAAAAATCGTGGGTGTGGGGTCTCCGATACCTATTACAGAATTTATTTCAGTAATTACGTTTATCTCCAGTTCATGCTCTGATTGTAATGAGCGAGGTGCGGATACAGAACAAAACTAAAACAGAAAAATAGAGTAACTCATAGGTTGTGGGGTTTTATGGTTCAGGTCGACAGAAATATGACCTAGAGATCTATGTTTGATATGTTTACAGGTATAGTCATAGTAACCTGTATTGTGAATAGTTAAAGCTATCGGCATCTTACGGTGACGAATAGAATGCGGGGATGAGTATCGCCGTTGTGTCGTCAATGTTCAGTTGAGGAACTGATCGCGATTTGAGTGTTGAAATTCGATATTGGTGCAGTTATGACTACTTAAAAATTTTTGTTATCTGTTTAAAATGGGGCGTCCTTGGACAAGTTCTAATAGTAATAACGAGTGTGATAACAACGCAGTCTTTTTCCTGTGTAGTGATTACCAACAGCGATGGTGAACAATGCGGAAAAGAGATACCAGTGAATAAGATTCAAATCCATTTGAATATTGAAACACACAGAGAATGTTTCAAGGTATATAAGAATCTACATCTCAAGTTTGGTTTCGAGGGAAACAAACTATTACAAGCAACATCAGATTTGACCGAAATTCCTTTCTCAACTGTACGTGAAATCGTCAAAAACAAACCGTATGAACGCAAGATGCAATGAGATTCCTATAACTGAATTCATAAGGAAGAAGTTGAATACTTCCGGCCATAACGTGAGCTGCTGTGATAAAACTCTTCAGAATTGGATAAAGAAACTAGGATTTAGATTTAAAATAATAAACAAACGTCAAGCAGTTATGGAAAGCAGAAGAATAGTGGAATTGCATAACAAATACTTAGAACAAATACTTAGAACAAATACTTAGAACAAATAACTAAATATAGACAAGAACAACGGCAAATTTTCTATTTGGANTGAGGAATTTCTTCTGAACACCTTCCAAAGCATCAATGTATTTTGTTTGATTAGAATTTCAGACAGAATTACAATACTCTAGTTTAGTACGTACCAAACTATAATAATCCGACCAAATACATTCAAATGATCTAAATTCTCTGCAGTTTCTTAGGTAAACTGTAATATATTCTTATGTAATATGTCTATGAAATAGTCGCTGTTGATGGTTTTTCCCTTCTCAGGATAGCCGATGAATAATATACCATGCACATCCCAAAATACTGACACCATAACCTTGCCTGCGTACCTTAAGGAGGTTGCGTTAATGGTCATGTTACAATTGCGCACGGCTGGTATAATCAATTAGGTAGGAATGGATCAATTAAGGCTGAGCCTATGGCGAGAAGCGCTTACTGCGCAACCTCTGCTGCAGGCAACCAGTCATGCAATCGAACCCAGGTTCGTGTTTAATGAACCCCACAAAATACAAATGCAACAGAACACAGAGTTAGATGCTACAAATGCATTACGCATATATACAGACGGCTCAAAAACCAAAGATGGTTCAGGATGTGGAGTGTACTCCAGATCACTCAGCCTAAGGATTAAGTGAGGAATGGGAAGAAATACCAGCGTGGTTCTATCAGAACTGGCTGGTATCTCAATAGCCACAAAAGAAATAACCAGGAAAGGAATTTCTGGCAAAAATATAACAATTTGCACTGACAGTAGAAGAGCCCTATTAGCCTTGAATAGACAACGTGTTCCCTCAGGGCTAGTACTAAAGAGCTACTAAGATTTAGACAAAGCCTCGGTAGATAATTATATTATCCTGAGGTGGGTTAAAGGGCACGACAGAAGTAAAGGTAATCGCATTGCCGACTCTCAAGCCAAGGAAGCGGCTGGACTGAGAATTTTAGGACCCAGTGACATCTACGGCCTAATGACTTCGACAAAGTAGCCAAACGTCACACCCATGCTCAATCCCTAAAGAGATGGGATGGAACCCAAGGATGCAATCTTGCCAGGATCATCCTGAGCGACCCTGGGAAGCTGGCGCCGAAAAAATATCTGGCGATGACCAGGAAAAATCTACGCTTAACAGTATGATTTCTGACTAGCCACTGTCAACTGAGGAAACAGCTCCATAATATGGGGCTAGTGGAGACACCTCTATGCAGAATCTGTGAACAGGAAGATGAAACTGTCAGGCATGTCCTATGTGAGTGTCCGGAGTGATCGCCAATGAGAGAGTGTGTGTTCGGCCAACATCGAGTCTTGGCCTTCACCTGCCGATATGAAGAAAATATCCGATATGACATCTGTCGAAGAAGTATTGAAATAAGCTATCAAAAAAGTTATAACTGCGAATATATTCACGATTTCTTCTAATCATTTCCAGCATCCAATTACAAAATTCAAGATTCGGAATGTTTCGCGGTAGCAGTGCCTGTACTCGTTGCAGATGGTAAGGGTATAAGAGTCGTTCCTTTGAAATTCGAAATACCGTCATATGATCAACATTTAGCTGGAAAGCAATCTTTTTAGTACTGGTAGCAGGTTGTTCTTCAATCAAATTAAGTACTGCTTCTCGATGGCGACCACAATCCTGTGTTCTTTTGTCGAATGAACTATATTCTCGTAATCGTTGATGAAGTCGATCAAATATTCTATGTGAAGGATGCTGTCGTTGAGGATACATTTCGCATATCTTCTAGAAGCTTCTAGTCTAACCCATTCCCCTGCGACAGACCGTAAACGTATTTTCGCATTTATGACGATGTATCTCTGCAGTTGTTCGTAAAATAATTTTTTGTTGCTAACTGGTTTATTTTGGGCAAAAAACCCAAGAGACATTTTTTGTTTAGAATGGAACGGACTATCGGAAATAAATCTTTATATGGTAAACAAATGATAAGACAAAAAGTTACATTGGAAATAAATTTTAGGGGTTGCGTTTTCCACCCCTTACAACCATGGGGTAAACCAAATAAATTTCTGGCTAAGTGTCTTTTTGGTAGTACAAAA